TACTTGCCTGTTTTAGCCTCAGACAATTAAGTTAAATGGCTTGATATATGTTTTACAATGCCCGATGAAAAATCGTGTTTTTTGTTCACTAACTACGTGGCAACTCTGGCTGTTCTTTTTTTAAAAAGATTTTAAGAAAACTATCGATATGCATTAGTGCTGCCACGTTTAAAAATAATCTTGTTTATTTAAAATTTAAAAAACTACCTAAGCACATAATTGGATTCTATATAAAAATTATTAAGTACCAATTTAAAATTATTATTTTATTTAATTCATTTATCAACGTTGTGGGGTCAATCACATACAGTAAAAAAATGTGATTTTATCTTTAGCCAAGGCGCGAACCAACAGTATTACTAAGCAGATGGCATCACCGTCAGCTGTTGAGCTCAATTTTTTAAAAGAACATACATAGAAAATACATATATGTGTAAAAAACTGATATTTGATATAGTAAATTGATGTTTGCCTCGGATTCAATAAAATATTAATAAATACTTCAGTTAAAGAATAAGTGCAAAGCTTAGATGGATGCCAGCTGTAAATTCAATTCGCTAGCCAAGAAACAAACCAATATAACAGTAACGCTGTGCGTTGCCTAGTTGTTGAAAATTGCGACAGATGTCGCTATTGTGTGTTTTAATGTATCGTAACTAATAAAATACGCTTGTCTTTTCACAGCTATTAAAATCCAGGTGACTGGCAAAGGCAAATGCAAATGGATGGAAATCTTGCGCAAAAACTCCAACAACAACGAATACACGCGCAGTCTCTTCTACACCAGCAAAGAGATCTACGAGCATAGCGAAACGCCTCTGCCCGAATTCGAACCTCGCGGGCTCGAACTGTCTCCCGGCGAGCACACTTTTAGCTTTAATGTAGCGCTGGGTCGTGAGTTGCCCTCGAGCTTCCGTGGTAGCCATGGCAGCATCAAGTACAAGATGCGTGTCCTCATTCAAAGACCCTGGAGCTTTGATGAACGGCACACCATACCGTTTACGGTTGTGAAGAATATGCCTTTGCCATCGACATGTCGCAATAATCCCACTCCGCTGGAGAAGCAAATCACCAAGACAATTAGCCTATTTGGCACTCGGCCCATTACCATGCTGGCCCTGCTGCCCGAGGACTTTGCCGTGCGCGGCGAACCATTGAGAATCTGCGTAACCGTCATGAACAACAGCACGACGAATGTGGAGAAGCTGCGCTTCAAGTAAGTCAGGGTTAAAGTGCCTGTCAAAATCGAACCTGATTTTTAAATGTGTTGTCAGTGTGGAGATTCAACTTAAACTTAACTTTGAAGCTTGAATCTCTTGAATATTTGAACAGGTATAAGAGCAGCAAATACCCTCTAACTAGCAATCTGATTTTTCATCTATTTATCTGAAAGTCTTTCAGAAAGACTACTTAATCAAATTAAATTGAGCGACAAGAGGATATCCTCTACCAAGAAGATTATTTGTATTTAAATCTCTCAGGTGACTTCCGACTGCTGTCATAGCTGTACAAATATAGAGACACGTAATACATATACACGAGAAAACCTATCTCTCCCCTAGAGAGGCATTTTGAAAGAGCAAGCTCCCGGTGTGTGGGCTGTTTTTCCTTTTACCTCTCACAGTCCGCACGTTATATACATACTATGAATCAATATACATATTTGATGCATGTTTCGATATTCTAATAGAATTGTACAAATTGCCTTTCGTTAGCATACTGCAGTACGTCACTTACTACAGTCATGTGCCGTTGCGTGTGCAAAAGGTCGAGTGCATTGCGATCGCCAGCAAGGAGACGGGTGCGGTGAGCAAGAAGAGCGAACGGAGCTTCGCCCACGAGCTGCTGATGCCGGACACGGCACAGCCAACGGATGAGCAGTTCAGCGGCGTCATAACCATATCCTACGAGCTGCGCGTTGAGGCTGTCCTGCGTGGGTTCTTTAAGAATTTGGTGCTCAACTTGCCGTTCAAGGTCTACTCGCAGGATGTTTCCGCCAGGTTGGGCTCGGTGCGTCCGTCGCTGCCGCCACGTCCCGACAATGGTCCACCGGGGATTGATNAATCCCTTCGATCCAGTTGTTACTGCATCTGTGTATCCAACACTAGATTCTTCCATTGGCTCGCCATCGCATTCGTCGGTGTATAGCGAGTGCAGTTCCTTGAACTCCACCGCCTCGGACTCCACGCTGAGTCCGGCCGTTGGTGGCGTGGAGCTGTCCTACACATCCGGCTCGCAATCGTCGCAGTTTGGCAGCCCCTCGGCCCGGGCCAGCCTGCGCAGCAGCTCCAATGTGCCCTACATGCCTTATGCTTCCAGCCCGTTGATGGTGCAATCGTATCCACCGCCGCATCTGCCCCCGTACCCGTTGCCCGAGTCGCCGCAGTACACGCTGCTTGCCTTGACGCCTCCGCCAGCGCAGCCTCCAGCTGGAGCCAGCGGCTATAGCCAGCTGCCGTCCACGTCGGCAGCATCTGGATCATATATGCAGTCCCGCCACCAAGCCGGCGCGCACGCATTGCGTAAGACTTACGACGAGATTACATTGGGATTAGATTGCTTTAATTCTCCAATCAATTGCAGCTCCCTCCTACGACGAGCTCTTTGGCAGCGCCAACGCTCCGCCGGAATCGCCGAAGTAAACTGGCGAATCGCCCCCACATACATATAAAGTTCATGCCGCCCAGTTATATCTAAGCTTTGCCTCGAATCGCATCAGGATTACTTTAGAGTGCTTGCCACCACATATGCCTACGTAACCATTTTCTGGAGTTGTGAAATGTAACGTATCTCGAATCATCAGCAAGCGCACAATTGCCATCAACACAACTTGTCACACAAACTATTTACAATACGCATCATTGTAAAGCACTGATTGAATATGAAATTCATACTTGTATACATACATATACATACATGTATATATGTATTATGTATAGATAATTTCATTATTTAACTTATGATTAAGTTGTACGTAAGATATTCAAATGTAATATTTCAGAAATCGATCGGCACTTACCTTGCCTTCGCGTAGTCGCGTCGACTCCTTTAAAGTAAGGCCAATTTTGTGTTCGCACCTTTGTAAAAGGCGTAACCGTTTTTCATGACCTACCGAATAGTTAGCTTATTGGCTTGAAATCATATTCGAAATATTTCAACAAATTATTAGTCCTAAAGCAATGTATTCGAATATTGAGGATTAGTTAAACGAATTTTACACTGAATTATCGTTAACTTAAGGTACGTCTCAAGCATCATCAAGTATTTTATTTATTTTTCTTACTATTATATTTTCATGTTTAATTCAATGCACAAACTCAGTTTTGTTCAGTCGATTTATGCTTTATGTTTATGACAGCCAACTGTTTTCAGGAAGACGAAACATTTTCATTTCACCTATAGCTAGGCCGAAACATCAAATATTTTATTTATTTTTTATATGTATGTCATGTACATACTCCAAAGAACAAATTTCAATTGTGTTGAAACAATTTATTATTTAGCGGCATATTACTTTTGTTTYTAAGTCCCGTATTCAYTTATCGATATTCACATTCTTTTTTATTGTTCTTATTTATTTTCTGCGCCACATTTACATTTGATTCGTTTACAAAGCGAGCTTTCAAGTATATCGATAATATATCGATGAATTCGATTAAAATATATATTGAAAAGTGCATACCATTGTCTCATGCTAAGCAAATAATTTTAGTCATAAGCTGCACAAAGGAGAGCGTAACATAATTTATTTCATTAAGGTGCTTTACATTATAATTCAGCGAATATTTTTGGAACATTTTTATTGCTGTTTTTTGTATACATATATATATACATATTTTTGATTTATAATCATAAACAAATCAATAAAATGTTAATCTTGAAACACAAATATAATATAAGTGTTCTCATTTATGAAGTTTTTCATATGGAATTCAATACAGTTCTCCCTAGATTATCTAATTTTACTTGATTTTAATTTAATTCATTGTTTATATATTTTTGAGATTATTACTATTTTATTGAATTTCCTTGGTAGGAATAAAAAACTGAGTTGTTCTGGTTCCAACTTAACGCAGGTCAAGTCAAGTTGTGTCAAATGTAGCCACGTGCTAGGCTGGCCACCCACATAAGGAGCTACCTGTAGTACGAACTACACCTGTGTACGTGTTAAACTATAATTTCAAGTGCTAGACGGGGCGAAGTGCGTTACGCCCCCTCTCGCTGCGTCGCTGCGTCTCCATCAGATCCCTCCGACGATGTGTAGGATAAACGTGTACGGCTTTTCCAACAAGCAACGGAAGTGTTAAGTCAGTTGTAATTGTTTTCCCACTTTTTGTTGCGAGTCAAACAACAAGGACGACGACAATTTAGTTTCTCCCCAGCTGCTGCTGTTGCTGCTGCTGTTGCTGTTGTACCTGCTGCTTTTTGCGTAGCCAGAGTAACCATAAATTATATTTCTTATAGGGTATGTGTATGCATTAGAGTCGCAGGGTGCCTGAAGAAGCATCTGGGGCTAGCATGGGTAGCGTACATAAACAAAATTGTTAAATAATAGCGACATTTAGCGGAAGTGTAATGCCTTTCATTCAGAGACCCGCAACATGTGCGACAAACGCTCGAGCTCTCTCGGCTCGGCTTTTATGTCAAATTATAGGGGTGTTAAGGGTCGACTCTCGACGCTAACGACACGAAGCACAAAGCACGGGCCACGAGGCATTAGACATGGCTCCCATTGGAACTTGGCGCTCTCACTCCCTTCCCCCTAGTGACTCGCTGACTGACCAACTCCTAAATGTCTTAATACTTATTTCTTGTTGCGCCTTGGCTTGTGCGTTCAGCTAGCACAGAAATGTAATTTGAAATAGTACAACTTGTCGTTTCAGCCACGTAGACACTCTAACACGCTGCGGCTATTCTGATTTTGGCATTAAAAACGTGCCACTAACTGATATTAAGTATACGCCAGCTGTGACCAACAG